GTCAAATATTGTGTGGAACCCCCAAATCATATTTTGCCAGGGACGGAAAAGTTGTAGAAAGCGATGCCAGAAAACAGTGGGAAATGGTCCCAATTCCCTGAAATCTCACCAAAACCAAACGCGGGAAAATGACAAGAATGCGTCAGAAGGAATTTGGGTAGAAATTGTCAAAGAAGTGTGAGAAGAGAACGGTAATAAATGGCAAGGTCACGTTTGGATTTGCTTTATAATTTACATGGAATTGTCTTTTTCTTTTTTTATTTTTTTTTTCTTTTCTCTTCTTTTTCACAAATGGTCCCTTTCTTCCATTCATTGGAAAAAGTGCTTTTGTTGTTTATGGGACACTTGTTTGGACAATTTTGATTTCCTTTTTCTTCTACCGAAATGGTCCCTTTCTGTGCAGGTGTGCATCATTTACAACTCCTTAGCTTAGTAACAGACCTTCTCTTGCAACCTACGCTCCAATGATCAGGATTGAGGCTTTTCCATGAACCTTGGGCTCTTCCTGCTAATGGCTTTTCCATGGCATCCCTCTCAATACAGCCAGGGTCTACAGCAGTGAGATTTAGAAATCTTACTGAATGAATTATATGCTTACAATCTATTAATTTACTGAATTGAATCCAAACAACATAAAAGTGTAAAATTGCAGACCAGCTGCCCCAAGAAAAAGAAATATGGAGAAACATATTTTATCATTCAAATACCACAAAATGCACCTCAAGCTATACAAGTAAATTTCACTAGAATTTCTACTTTTTATTTTAATCGTGGTTCATGAGCTTTATTTGTGTGCTTCCATTCGATTAGGCTCAATTCAAGTTCTTTGTTGATTGTGAGTTGAATCTTAAGGTAACTTTGATTAGTTTTCCAAATTAAAGTTGGACTACTAAATTATTTGGGTCGAAAGCATGTGAGACTGGACAGTGAAAATATCTCCCATATTTATATGTTAAATTCATGGAGAGATATTCCTTATGTATATACTGTGCTTTTAGGATGTGTACACAATTTTTGCTTTCAAGAGATCCTATCTCTATAAAAAACCCATAATTCCAAGTAAATACTGTTACGGTGGCCCGATAAGCCGATACAAAACATAGTGCGATACGCATCCACGATACTTCGAGTCATGATATTAATTTAACAAGGAGAACCTGATTTGGGTGTTGCAGGGTTGAAAGCGAAGGGTGCAACATGTTGCTTCCAATAGTCCAACCTGAGGTGAGGTGAAAGAAGCACTTACTTCTTGGCGCTTCCGAAATTTGGAGAAATGGTCGAATACATGAGGGAATAAAAAGCTGATCAAGACAGGGCATTGAGCATTTCTCAAGTGACGAATTCAAAGAATCCGTATCTGCTGAATGGCCTGGTAAATCCAAAGCCACCTATCTTGTAGCAAAGTGATCCACCCAGGTCTGCTGTTCAGTTAGCACTTAGCAGTTAGTCACTCAAAGAATAAATGGGTCCATGTCCAACTAGGGTTGTCACCAAGTCTGGCTTGGATCGTATCCCTTCTGGACCTTGAATCTAGGGCTGCAATTGGATCAGATTATTTGATTATTGAAAACATGCATCCAAATTTAATCGCATTTGAAGACTTCAGATCTGAATTTGAATCCTAACAGACTCGGATTGAGTTTGGATTTAATCTGATATTATTTGAGTTTTTGAAATATAAAAAATTTTAAAAAGTTAATTATTTTTCAACTTTGTATATAATAAATTAATGTAAATATAATATACTGATTTTATTATATATAAATTCATAAAAAATATATAATTTTTTTATAATTTTAAATATAATTATATAAAATTTATATATTAGAATCAATATTATAATATAATCAGATTCAGATTTTAAACCGATTGGATGGAGTCAAATCTGAATCTGGTCTAATTACATAAATACACATAATTGGAATCTGAGATAATCAGATTAGATGTCAGATTAGGCCATGGATTTTCAGATTTCATTGACAGGCCTACTTGAATCTACTGACCAAGTTATGATCTGGTCCAGTTTTTTACCCAGACCCTGTTTAACCAGGACTATGTATGCGGCGTATCTAAGTACTTCCTTACTTACACCTAGGGGTGCAAGTCTGGGTGGGTTAGGTTGGGTTGAGGTCAACCCTAGCCCAGCATGAGTTATTGAACCATCAACTAACCCAACCTGATTGGACCCCAACTCTAACCCTGATCCAACCTGACTTTGGGCTAACCCAGCACCCATGACATCCTCCTGCCTAAGAGTTCCATTGAATAAAAGATTAATACAACCTAGTAACACCCAAAAAATCATAATACATGCCGTGTGGGCAAAGCCTAGTCCAACTTAGACCATGTTTGAGAGTGTTTAAAAATAAGTGTTTATTTGGGCCACTAAGCACTTAAATGCTCATACAATAAGCATTTATTCAATTTTTTTCCTTCAAAACTATCCCTAGTTGAATTTTATAAAAGTACTTCCGTAAAAATACTTATATAAAAGTATTTCGTAAAAGTATTTTCATAAAAGTACTTTTATAAGGTACTTTTGTAAAAACACTTTCATAAAAGTTTTTTAATAAAAGTGCTTTCATAAAAGTACTTTTACAAAAGTACTTATATAAAGTGCTTTCATAAAAGTTAATAAAAGTACTTTCATAAGGGTATAATTTGAAATTTTGAAAGAAAATGAATGACAAAATAATTACCAATGCTAATTTAAGTGCTTATTGGAGAAAAAAACTACCAAACACCTGCTTATTTTTTAAAATAAACACTTGAAAAAGTTGGGTGCCAAATACAAATAATTGTTTATTTGAATAAGTACTTGTTTTAACTTAAGCACCTCCAAACATGACCTTAGTCTTTGATAGATATATAGAGAACCTGGCCCAACCCAATTTTTATCTATGGGCCCGGGTAGAGTCTAAAATGGGATCAAGAACAGGGTCCCACCATTGAACCCGTACCCGTAAGGTACAATGGGATGATTTCAAACTAAGCAACACATCCGAGATTAAATTGGTAGTTTAATTTAATGACAGTTTCCAAGCAAAAACAAAACAAAAGCACTGAAAGTGCGTTAAAAATCCAGCCCTAGTTCGGTAAGTTGGAATTTCAAAGTTAACTTTTTTATGGTGTGGTGTATTGAAAGGTCGCTACATCCTACATGGCTGTTTTCTTTCATTTGTAATCGTTTGCCATGGCAATACCTCAATATACATTCCAATTCCTACAGCTATTAGTCTTCCATTTGAAAGGAAGGATTGATCTCGATTCCTTGAGGAATCTTCAAGCTAAGCTGAGTGTGACTTGTCGTCCAATTGAGTTATGCTGAGTCATAAAGGACTCTCTCTCTCTCTCTAAGCTTGTTTGGGATAGACCCATATTTGTATTGCATCAGTTTCATTCCATTCATAAGAAGAAAAAGAAGTTTTCAGTTTTGGCTTCTCCAAACCCAGGAGAAAATTAAGAACTGGTTTTCCCGAATGGATTCTCAATCCACTAAGAACCAATTCACATACTGTGGTGAATCTAGGCTAGCTAGCCATTTTTTTAGAGAAGTGTCCATTAATGGAGATGTGAAATCACAATTCACAAGAGAACATAAAAACATGATCTTGATGCAAATAAAGGTAATTCTGTCAATGGGTCGGATCGGGTCAGGGTCTGTGATGTTACTAAGATTGATCACAATATGTGAATTGGATCGGATCGGGTCAGGGTAATTCCTGGTGCCAGCCCAGCAAATAAATGTGCAGAACCAGTGTCGAACCATTGATTAAACCAAACAAAAAAAAAAGAATAAAAAGTAAAAATCATGTATACATTTAATTATAATGTTATTTAAAGGCATGGACCCAGAAGCCCTGCTTGGCCTGGCCTAGGCCCAGGCTAAAGCCCATCATAATAAATGCTAAGCCCAGCCCGGCCCTTGATCATCCCTAGCCTGAGTCTCATGCGGCCAAAGACCATGGATCATTTAGAACAAGACTTGGTATCCAAAATAGGCCAAACTCTTGGTCGAACTTGTTAAATCTTGGCCCGTGTGATCTTATATGGATGATGGATACTTTCTCTTGAAGCTCAGATTACATCCGGAATAGCTAAAGCCACTACTCTCTCACCTTGTTCGTCCATGGAAGTAGAGGCCACTGCTTTTCTTGATCCCAGCAATTAATTGATATGGGGATCGGCAACTTCTATTGGAAGCATGATTCATAGTAGGGGTGCAACCCCGGTTGTCTTGAGCTAACATTTTACACTGTTTTGGGCTCGAGATTTGGGTCAGATCCATTCAAAATTTGGCAAAAGCCCAACCCGAGCCCACCCAACATGCACTCCCAATTCAAATTATCTATATGCACGAAATCTAAAAGAATGTTTGGATTCAAATTTTGGCCAGACCCATTCAAATTTTCTCTTTTTTATTTTTCAGGTTTGTGCTTCAGGGTTAAGAATGCTAGAAGGGGTTCGTGTATTTGAAAACAAACACACCACAAAATGCACTGAGGAAAATGCTTGATGCCGGAAAGACGTGATATCAGAAAGGTTTTGACCAATCATAACCCCCATCAATTTTAATGAAAACTCACCTGACTGGTTACTACTTTTTATGATGCTGGTTGATTGGTTATAAACTTTCCCGGTATCATATCTTTCCGGCAACATAGTTGAATCCTGTGCACCGGTATGTTGCAATATTTTGAACCTTGATTGGCGGTTGTCTTTCAATCTCCTTGGCATATCAAAATTCCAAAGCAGATTGCAGAAATATTATCAAAGACCATGAATCTATCACAATTCTTCATGCTTTCCGAGCCTGTAATTTGGTGGCTCATAACCTAAAGTTACATTTGCATTACATCAGAATGATACCTCTGACTGGACTGTGGAGCAATTCTATGGAGGACAAGCTTTTATATTGTTTCTTTCATTTTGAAAGGGAAAAACTTATCACCATCTATTCACTATGGACAAAGTATGGAGAGAGAGAGAGAGGTTATTAATTAAGTCTTGAAAAGCTTGTAAGTCTTCACACCAGCAGCCAGGCCTTGAACAGATCCAACTGCAGCAACAACTGCCACCAGCAAGCAGGTGAAGCTCAATACTTTAAGCCATGTCCATGTGAAGGAAAACCTGGGTATTCTGGACCGCACAATATACATCTCTATGGGGAGGTACACAGTCAATGGCCAGTAAGAGATTGCTCCAACCAGCCCTAAGATGTCATTAAAAAACGGGAATATCATTGCAATTACAGTCGTTGATACCACATAAACCGTTCTCCAAACCACCTGAAAGAAGTTGATGTGGTATTTTCCATATAAAGGAATTTTAACGGCATGTTCTGGTGTTATGAATCCATTTTCCGGCCAGTGGGTGATGCACCAATTTTCCACAATCCTGAATAGAGGTTGAGCAAATACCTGGGAATAGCAAATTTGTTAGGTTACAAACATGCATTACAGAACAAATTAATGTAGCTTTCAAAGTTAAAACAAGAGTGTGACCTAGTGAGCTTTCTGATTGATTTTACTTGATTTCTGATCCAGTTCTGATAAATGGGCTTTTTGCTTTCTCACTTGGCCCAGGTAGATAAGAAATTTTCACCTTTGGGCTGTGATTGTCCAGCCCTTTAATTAGAAGCCTAAACCAAGCCCACAAAGGAGGCTAACCCAACTCCACACCCATAAGTCCAAAGTCCATAACCCCCCCACCCCACCCCACCGCCACCCCTGGTGGCTAAATTTGGAACTTTCCATGGCATGGCCTGATGAAGTTAGGCTGCTAATAAAATATCAAGAAACAGACCTAGAGACTAAAATCACTGACCAAATACGATACAAGCTTCTAGCTAATAGTTGGTGGGTCCTTAATCATCAAAGAGATCTTAGCTTACCCCGAGATGAAATTTGACTCAAGGTTGTGCTTTGATTCTGAGAATGGCTGCTTTGTGTGAAGATTACTAAAGGTTAGGTCTGTATCCAATTTTCATCCTTCCTAACACCCCAAATGGTCAAGACTCAAGACCAACATTGGGTTTGGGTAATATCCCCCTTCTCTTTTGGAGTATATATGGGTCTTCAGATTGACCTAACCACAAGATGAAATGTGATTCAAGGATGTTTTTGATTTGGGGAGTAGCCATTTTGTGCCAAAAAACAAAAGCCAAAGATGTTAGGTCTGAATCCAATTTTCATCCCTCCCAAGACCCCAGATGGCCAAGACCAACATTCCTTAATATCCCTTTTCTTTTTTGAGGATGGGTCTTCAGACCAGCCCTAATCAATCAGAAAGATCTTAGCCTAACACCCAAACCAACATGATGGTTGTTGAAACGTAATTTCTACCTGGTAGGCTCCAACAAGATGGACGGCAATACATAAGTTTGCAAAGTCTATAAGCCAAAAGGGTTCATAGAATCCAAACCCAGTAAGAAAGTTCCCTGGTGCATCATTCCCAAATGCAGCATAACCAACGCCACCACATACTATGTATAAAAAGGCTATGGTCGACACCCCAATAGAAGTTGCCTTCTTCATGACCTTGTTCTCTGGGGGACTTGATTTTAGTGTGTCCTGCAATTCATGATGTTCCATCAAGACTGTCAAATTAGTATATCAAATGACAAGCTAGCATAAAAACAATAGCTTGTTTAGCAGCTCTTGAAAACAATGAAAAAAAATTCATTATGGAGTGTTCTCTAGCTTGCTGAAAAATTACGTGATAGATCAAGATAGGCCTGAAAAGAAATAACCACTTGAAAAATAAAATAAAATAAAATTTGGGATTCTTGAATAAGTGCTTTTTTTTTTCAGGAAGAAACAATTATTTGGGCTTATTTCCCAAACACAAATAAGTGATTATTGATGTGGTCTGGGCCTAAGATAATGTTTCTATTTTTATTTTTAATTTGGTCCAAATCTAAAATAGCATGATCTATAGGAGCTATAGTAGCCCATATGTTAATTGTTAGCCTTGTGGAAAGGAAAACCTTATTTTGTTGGTTTCTGAAACAGTATTTTTCAAACATCATGAAGCACTTCTTTTAGTTTTAAAAAACAAAATCAGACACATTGGCAAACACTCCCTAACATCTATATAAATATATGGACGCGGTTTGTCTTTAAACAAGAAAAAACAGAAGCATTCATGTTGGAGAATACCCCCCCCCCCCGCCTTAATTGCTTTCTTTTCATTCCAAAATTGAAACACGAAACTAGTACACACAGACACACACAAACAGGTTTGACGTAATTTAAATATTCATATGGAAAACCCCAACCAGATGTCATGGCTATAAGTGTAAGGTGGTCAAACGGGTCTGTGAATAATCACAAGCAGCACCGAACCATGATAGATTGGTCACCAGAATTTGGTGCTTAATTCAAAGAGCCAGAGATTTGAACTGCTGCCCATTTTTAGCACTGGCCATTGCTTAATCGACCTCCTTCCATCTTGGGTCTGGCTCATCAGGTTAACTTATTCCTGACCAACAGAACCTTTTCAGACTTCCAGCTTCCTTACCCATTCACCATAACCATCTAGCTTTAAATCAAGAGAGATCAGTGTACTACTATGCTATATATACAGATGCATAATTAACCACTTAGAAACTGATGTCATAACTCAGAAGATTGGCTAGCTTGCCTGTATCTCAATGAGTATGGGAGAGAAGGTGTAGGCAAAGGCAACATTTCCAATGGCTTGGAAGGTCTTCCACACCTTCTCTGAGACTGTGACATCCAACCCAACCACGACCCCTGTTAAACCAGTCCTTGCACCATTGTTTCCCCCTATAAGAATTCCGAAAAGCAGCTTGGATCACTACTAAAGCCAAATGTAACCATTCAAGAAAGAAAAGGAACCTTTGGGAATTCTTTGATCAGATTTTCATTAGTTGCTAAAAACCTGCAACTTGGGCTATCGATAGGCCGATCCCTATCAAAGTGTAACTAAAAGACATCACAGCCGCGATCATGGAGAGCCAAGACAGCTTGTGGAAGTTGGGTATTTGGGAAAGAACAATCTGAATGCCCCCAAAGATGATAATGAAGGGATAGTTTGATGCCTGGCACTTGGCGTGGTGACCGTTTTTGTGGAAACAGTTGGACCTTATAACAGCCCTGATATTGAGAAGAAAGAGAAATTTATGAAGAAAAAGAAGATGAAACAACAATCAGTCATTCTCATAGCAGTTACAAGTAAAACATTTCAATCTTCGGGAGCTCTTGATTGATTGCTCACGCCATACTGATGCCCGCAGTGATGGTGTATCCAATGGTAGCCCCTATCAAGTTTCCAATTTGAGCTAATCCACAGATACGAACCTTGTATCCTCCTGAGGAAAAAAAAAGGAAGAGAATCAGAACCCTGTTAAGAGTTGAGACTTTCTGAAGATACCCAGATGGTGTATCAACTGGAAATTTGAAAGGTTTCTTTCTTAGAGAGATCCCACTTAAGAAAAAGTTAATGTCTCTCCTTGATGGTGTAACAGAATTGTGATTTTATTACCTAGATTGGTTCTCACAGCATCCACGTAGGTATAGTTTCTCTTCCCTGGAACAGGGTCATCTGATCTATAACAGTCGGCAAGTAGAATAGATGTGAACCAAGTGATGACAGAGAAGGCCACGAGAGAAACAGGTCCAGCTACCCAACCCAACTGAGCCATAACCCAAGCTAGGGAGAGCACTCCCGACCCAATAACAGCAGTAATTATGTGAACACTTGCAGTCATCAACGTCCCTTCAAATCAAAATTAAGCAAAAACAGAAGCAGAACACAGAACAAGATAGATTAGAGAAAATCTTAAAAGCTGAATATTAGAACTGTGAAGCATTGAAAAAAATACCAGTCCGTTTTACACGACCATCGTCGTCCAAACTCTCGTTTTCTTTACCCATCTCCATCGTCTCTGGGGCTGCAGATTCTGTCATTCCAAGCAGAAGTCGACCTTCTTTCAATACTTGGAACTTTTGGAAGATGTAACAAAACCGTTCGTTTGCAGTTATAACTCTTTATCTTGCTTCTTTTTCTCTCTCATGCACATGTATGGGATAGAATAAGAATAAGATTAATGACAACAGCTTGGATGAAGGAAAATTTGATAGATTACTCATTACCTCCCATGGGGTTTGGGTGATATACTTATACCACCCCTCAGGATAAAAACTATGGAGTTTTTGTTACTTTAATTTGTTACAGAAGAGACTGAACTAGTTAATACCCAAATAATTATTATTTTCCAAAATTTTCTTAACAATAAAACATTAGCTTTGCATCCAAAACACAGTGTTGATCCGAGTGATCAGATGCCCTCGATTAAGAATAACCTTGGTGTATGGACAAATTCTTCGGCCATGGCATAGCCTACACCAATGGATAAATATCTTTGACTAATCTCCCTTTCTAGGCCTATTTACGGTTAATCAAACTAATGCCATGTCAGCAAGAAACTTGCTTGGTGTGTAAAGTAATTGAGAAAATATGGACAACTAATCCTACCTTGTGGGACACTTGTCCCTTGATCCAAGAGGCTGAAAGAGTCTAGGAGTGGAGGTAAGTAAAATCTCGGATAAGAAGGGATCTTCCCCATATCTGTATTTTTTAGAACCGTCGAGTGATGGAAGTCCCATTATAAATATGGGCTTCCAGTTCAACTCCAGCACACAATACATACTGAGAAAAACTCCTGTCACCGGCTGCCTCCTTGGGTCATTCCCACCTTAATATTGTTATGGTTGAAAAATTTATGGTCCGTTGTTTGGTTCATGGGAGTAGGGGTTTGAAATCCGAATTAGAATGGATTATTTTAATTCCAATTGTTTGGTTGGGTAGAATCGAAATCTCATTGTCATTCCTAATGAAATGTCATTCTCTCATTTGCAGGGAATGGCCATTCCCACCCCCTCCTTAATTTGGAAATGAAAATTCAATTTCAGTTGACTTCATTTCCAATTCTGATTCCCATATGAACCAAATAGACCAGTAAAATAGATCATTCCGATTCCAAAGAATTTTGATTCCATTTTGACTGCGATTCAAACGGATTCTTGGTTCCTCAATTATGAATAAGGGTACTATATTTTTTTCATATAATATAAAAAACCATTTTAACACCAAAAAGTATTATACCTAAAAAAAGTAATAACAAATCAACTAGTAACCATTCAAATTCACATTAGATTCTGTTATTTTGATCGGTTAATGTTTGTTAAGATATCATACCCTCCCGATATCATAGAAATTTACCTATACAAACTAGTATTTATTCAAATTCCCTGATGCCCAAGGTTCAAAATATCGATACAGTTGGGTGATACGTCGGTAGGGCGTATTGGCCTTTATCGGTACTGTTTTTTTTTTTTTTTTTTCGAATCCGGTTCAGAGGGGCCAGTCTAAGGCCAGTCTACCCCCTGAACTACTTGCAGACCTGAAACACCCCCTGTAGGGGCGTATCAAGAAGACTCCAATACGATACATATCAGCCAATACGGACCAATACATGATATTTTGAACCTTGCCTACGCCTTTGATGTTCCCTACGTCTTTGATGTTTCCTGCATTTGTAGTTATTTCTATATAGTATGGCGTTTTTTCTCTTTCACTTTCTCTCCCAACTCTCTTGTTTATTGCATGTTTTGCCTGTTTTGCTTTGTCTTTCTTCCTAGTATCCTTTCGGTGCTTTGTTTTTTAGTTTTAAAAAAGAATGACTGGAAGCCCTTGTCGATAAAATCTTGCCACAAGTGTAAGTGGTATTACGAAGACTAGAATAAAGCATTGGTTTAATTAACTTCAGATATGAGCATTAATCAGCTTTGTATTTTTACTGTGGGATAGTTATTAGAAACAAGGACTTAAGGTGTCTTAAGAAGTTCGAAAATGAGGATGAAGTCACGAAGAACGATATAGAGTTCTACAAACCAAGCACTAACCCTCAACCACATGTTTAGAGACCTCCTTTGGTTCTTGTTCCAATTCATAAAAGGTTACAGACCTGGTTGTTCTCTCTCCAATGGAAACATCAGTTATGACGACTCCAATCAAGAGAAGCAATTTCAAGGATGAAGGACTGAATTAAGGAAGGTATAGCAATCTAAGCAAGATGATTGGGCCCTCCATTTAGGATTCTGATCGATCGAGATGAGTCAACAAGAAAGGGTAGCTCAGCCTAAGCCTAGTCAAAGGATGCAAAATCTTGGAATTAGTATCAGGGAGTTGCAGAATGAAGGAGAAGCAAGGAGATTGTTATGGAAAACATTAGAAAAGGTAAGAAAACTGCAACAACAAATAGTAAGCTATTGGATATATTTTCTAGAGAAGAGATTAATCTGAACAACAAAGTGGCTGATCTTTTAAAAAGGAGCAGTGGAGCACTATTGTTAAGGTTGATGTGTTAAGTGGTAATAGTAGTGGAGGTGAAATGGGCTCAGGCCTTGTATAAAATTCGAAGATAGACCCACATGAAATCATGAAAGCTCTTTTTGGAGATAGCCCAAGTCAAATGAAGATATATGGGCTCTCTCCTAGCTTTGTTTTTGGAGCTAAACTAAAGGCAAAAATAAATATGGGATTCGTTAAACAATAGAAATGCATAAGAGTAGACAATTTTTTACATTTTAACTTTTTAAATAATTGATAACTATTTATGTTTTATATATCACTTTTAATATTTTTACAATACTTTAATCTCCAATAATTATTGAAAATTTATAGCAAAAATACACAATTATATCGAAACTAAATTTATAACAAAAATACAATAATTATGAAATCACAATAAATATTGAAAATATATTAAATTAATAAAAAAATAGTGTAGTCTCTAATAATAGCTTAATCTCTAATAAATATAAATCAATAAATGATAATGAAAATACATAATTATTGAAAATAAATTTATAAAAAAAATACAATAAATCCAATAAGTATAATAAATTAAATTTTAAAAAGTTAAATAAAAATAGTTTAATCTCCAATAATTATTGAAAAATTACTGTTAAATAACAAAACAAAAATAGATTTATACATAATTATTGAAAATATATTCATCACAAAAATACAATAAATAATTACTAAAAATACATTAAATGCTAATTTTAGTATATATAAATACATAATAGATATTGAAAAAGATATGAAAACTATTATTAATAATTTTAATTATTGTGAAATCAAAGATACATTAAATAGTGTAGTATTTACTGCATTCAAATACATGAAATACATTAAATAGTGCAGTCTTTACTGCATTCGACCATTAATCAGAGATTGCTCATGTCATCGAGCAGAAATCAAAGAGAGTTTAATTCCCTTGAATTTTCTTTATTACAAATTAATTTTTGTAATTTGTCTCCATATTTTGTGTTAATCAAATACACGAAATTTGTGTTAATACAAATATTATTAAATCTATTTTTTATTCTTGTATTTTTGATAACTTTTCATGTTATTACAAAATTTTGTTATTTTATCTATCTTTTTTGTTTTTAAATAACATTTAAAATATTTTAAGTTTAGTTATTTACAATATTATCCAATTATGAATTTGTAAAATTATACTCTATACTGTTATTACATAATTTCTTTATTAATTATGTAAAATATAAAACTATTATTAATTAATTCGAATATTATGGAATATATTATAATTAGTTTTTGATTTTATGAAATTTCTAAATTTATTAAATATTTTAGTTATGTTAAATAGTTCATTATTTAAATATTTAAAATATTTAAAAATTTTCACCATTTAAATTTTATTTATTTTAAAGTTATTACATAAAATTAAATATTATTTTATATAATTATTTATCTATTTTTAGTTAATATATTTAGTTATTGAAATATTTAAAGAATATTTTTATAACTTTAAATTTTAACGTATAAATAAAATTTAGATAATTTTGTTATTTGAATATTTAAAATATTATTTATTTATTTATTTATTAAATTGAATAATCCATGAAATTATAATTTATATTGTTAGTACATAATTTCTTTATGAATTTTGTAAAATATAAAATTATTAATAATCTGAATATTACTAAATCTATTATAAGTGTTTTTATGTTTTCAATGAACATTTTAAGGCCATTAAAGATAATTTAAGAGGATAAATAGTAATTAAAGATAATTTAAGAGAGAAACTCTCTCATAAAGTAGATATAATTTAGGAGAAAGTGGGGGATAGTAGTGCCACATGGTTAGACATCATCAACACCCCTTTCTTTATCTATTGGCTGTTGTTAAAATGACATGGAATAAAATAAAATAAAAAATTCAAAAAATAGAAAAAAGATAGATAGATATATAGATAGATAGATAACTGAGGTACTAAAAAATTGATTTGCATTTTACAATGATGGTTCAACCCGGGTGTCTTGTTAAAGAATATTGTTTCCATGAATGTATTTTCTGCCTTTTTGGGGTTCATATCTTGAATAAAAAAAAAAGAAATTGTTGCTTCACGTATTCAATAATGCAAGGAGGCCAACCTGGGCATGTGGCATATGTGGACTTCTTGGCCAGCCATATCCAAACCATAGCCATATAAAACACCACACCACTACATTCTCTTTCCCTATCCAAATTTTCAATTCAATATATTTATATATTTCTTATACACATTGCTTTGTTTATCCATATCCTGCTGCCATTCTTCATTTTCCACTACTTAGAAGAATGATAGAATGATGGTTCGCATATGGTTTAACATTCAGTTTTCTTTTCCTTTCTTTTTCTTTTTTGTTCCTCTCCTGCTAAGCAAGGTAAGAGATGGAATTTCAAATGTTAGAAAAGCTTTACTGAAGCTGGGTTTGCCATAAATTCACTTCAGGAAAGCCTGTAATAGGGAATCCTTTGATATCTGATGGAATTCTGCTTTATAAGAGAGTATTCTTTGCAATTTATTTTTCTTTTATTTACTGGGTCTCTGTCTGTGGAGTGTCGAATTTGAAGCTTAAGGTGGGTATTTGAATATTGATGCAGAGAAGATAGCATGGCCCCAGAACAAGGACTACAATTTGAAAATGCAGGTGGATAGTTCTAGATAACTGAGTTTTGATGTTAATTCTGTGCACTATATGCATTCTTAGATTAAGCTGGATCTCAAGTCTCAACAAGTCTCAGGCTCTTAGCTTTTTTTCAATTCAAGCACTCGTGCTTATAGGGGAAAACCCCAAACCTAGATTGGAGGAAGAAGCAAATCCAATACATAGACCTAATTTCAAAAGAAAAAGGTAGGTCTACTTCCAAGTTCTAACAGCTTGTTAAAAGAATAATTACTTGGGAGTTACGACCTGCTGATTACTGAATCAAATCTTTAGAGAAGGTTAACTGATTTTTTGAATTTTAGGCTAAGCCCCGTTTGTCATGTCTTGCCGTGCGGTCTTTCGGTTGTTTACAAGCAGGCAGACTATGCTGCAGTCTTTTTCCGTTTGGGTCATAACAGATATAGCCGCTAAAAGTTGATGTGTCAAAAAGATGCAAGAAACCTATTTTGAGCCAATTTCGAGAAGCTCAAAATAAAGCTTTTCACGACTTTCTCGCTTTATTCTTGTGTAAAAAGACATGGAAAGATGCGTGGTAGCCAAACTAGCTTCGGGCTGCTCAAATCTTCATGCAAAAGCTCAACTACGTTATTAAAAGAATATCAAATAAATTAAAAAAAAATTACAATAATTTGAAAAAATACTATACAGCCATTGAGTATACAAAAAATATTAACTTCATCATTTTCTCCTATTGCTCTTGACTTTGAAAAAATGCTATACAATTATTGAGACTTGAGAGTATGAGAACTAGAAAAGAGATTAAGAGAATTGTTGAATTGGTGTGATGAGAATGGTGGAGAGGTATTTTAATTGTTGGGAGGAGTATTTTGGTCATTGTAAATTTATTTATCATTTTACCCAAAATGCCCCCAAACTAACTATTATATAACTATTGGGGGGCATTTGTATCATTCTTTTTCTCCCCAAAAACCAAAATACATAAATACCCCTATATTGCTGTTTATAGCTGTTGGGGGGTATTTTTATAAAAAAACACCCAAAAAGCTGAAACTAACCGTTGGGGACCCCCCAACGGCTAGTTCATCGGGTGGGCCGAGTGTGGCCCACTACGAGCACGCAGGCTGTGCCATGTCAACCCGTGATGGGCTGTGTGGCATGGCATGCACAGTCATGCCATGTCGTGCTGTCCAGTAGACCTGGACCCCTAGGCCCAGCACAGCCTGGACCATCGTGCTGGGCCTGGCACGGCCCACATGCTGTCATGCCGTGCCATGCCATGCCGGTCCGGTCCGATTTACACCTCTAGGCCTACCCAGCACCAGCATTCTAGTAACTTGGGTCGAGCCATCAAAATCAAAAACCCAGATGTTGAATTCAATCCGGGTCCGAGTTTATGGTGGGGAGATGAAAATTTCTTCTGGAAGCTTAGAAAATGACTCTGCTAGCAAACATATTCACATTTACTATGTTATATAAATAGCACGTAGATGATTTAAGTAATATACAGGTAAGACTATGTTATATAAATTTGTAGGAGTACGGCCTGGTCTGAGAACCATCCTAAATAGTCAGGTTAGGTCCTGACCCAGAACTCTGGATTGAGCTCAAGCCCACACTAACTCGATCTCAAAGACGAGGGCTGGCTCAGGCCTGCTTTAGACCAGGTAATTAGGCAAATTTATTATCTATGGGCCCGAAATAGAAAACTGATTTTCTACTCCTTAAAGTGGTTTTAGGACAGATTAATTGAAAGTTGAGAGTTTTGGGAGGATAAGTCGAATTTCAATCTTCTTTTAGAATTAATAATCTTTGGGTTTGGAGTTTGGACCAAAGAGATGTTAGAACATTAAAGAAACATCATCTGATGGCTGTTTTAATATGTAGATACCCAGAAAATTTATTTCAGCAAGGCACAAGGGAGCCCTCCCCTAAAGCCATAACCCATCGAACCCCATGCTATCAGATCTCTGGTCCAGTTAATTTCCTACCTAGACCACATCCAGTGGGGACCCAGTAGGCATTCAAAATAATAAAAGAAAAAGAAAATTGAATAAATCTTACTAAGTAAATTCGTGCATTGAAATTTGTTACAATTTTTTTACATGCCAAGACATTGCTTCTTGATATTCTGGAGCATGTCCAACTGGTTTGCCTCCACTTACGGTAATGTTGTTCAAGATCTGTTTCCCCAGGCATACAGAAAGACCAACTTGATGTAAGAATTAGAATGGCTCACCATAGAATCCATAATTCCAAGAATGGCTCAGAGTACAGAAGCATAAGCTCAATCAGGAACCCTTGACGCTGCAAACAGCAACAGAGCAAGCTGGTTGCAGAATTCCATACTATCTTCAATATACAACAGAGAAGATTACTTTAATTAGCAGGAGACCCTCCACTCATCCTCGGAACCATTACAGGGGAAATATTTCCTCCCATACATCCCACTACAAATTACAGAGGACAAGCTTGAGAACTATATTGTAGAATACATTTTAGAACATTGTAGCCCTTGGATCCCCTTAAGTCTATCCAACAAAAAGTAATACCCGACACCTCTCATGACAGAGGTAATCTCACCCATGCTCAATGAGGTATCTTTCAGCAATTGCAGCATGAGTTGCAGCACCTATAGGCAGAACATCTTCATCAATCATGAAGTAGGGAGAATGGCCAGAATGTGTTGAACCCAATGTCTCATTCATCACACCTATATAGAAGAATGCCGCTGGGACCATCTCTGAGTAAAAGGAGAAGTCCTCTGCACCCATCATTGGTGGCACCACAATGAAATTCTTAGCACCCACCAAGTCAATGGCCACCTTCCTCACATGCTCATACATATGCTCATCATTTACTGTGGGAGGGTATATCTGTGTCTTCTTCTCAAAGAAGTCAACAGTGGCTAAACATCTGTAAACACTAGCTTGCTCTACAATAACCTGTTTAACAGAAGCAGGGATTGTAAGTACTTGGTAAGTAAAGGGCATGTGAAAAATATACAAGGCATATCAAAGACCAAGAACTTCATTTCGGAGTTAGAACTATGCCATCACAAACCTCCTCAATTCTTTGCAGGAGCCTGTAGAAACTTGCATTAGAGAAAGCCCTTAATGTACCAGATAGGATAACAGATTCAGGAATAAGGTCTAGATTATTTCCTCCATTAAATGAAGCCACTGACACAACCTGCAACAAGAGAAAGACCATAAAAACTTTGGAATATCCATGAGCAACAAGAAATACATCACAGATGAACAATTGAAAAGAATTCAAATAAGTTTGTGCTAACCAAATCCTGAGGTAGCCACAAGAAAATTTTTCTTTTTCAGTAAAGGACAAGAGAGCGGGGGGGGGGTTACAAACTGCCAGTTTACTTTTCACGTGGAAGAGAGAAGCATATGAAGGACATGTAGAGTGGAAGCTGAGTTTATTTGGAAGGAAAACATAGAAAATAAAATTTAACATCTTTGGAAGGAAAATGTGTTTTCTTACTTATTAAAGTAAAGCCTTCCATCACAAAAAAAAAAAAAAAAGTTTTCTGTAATTATCCAAGGCTTACTAATTTTAGTTTCAGCATTTCTTTTGAAAGGCTAATGATTCAGTTTGAAGTTGTTAACATGAAAATACAGTTTTAAACCCACGATCATACCAAATGTATGTTTTAGTTGTATTGTTTAGATAACCTGTAGGATCTATTGAGCTACAAATTATTTATTTCAGAGGATTACTTTCTAGCAAACTTCCAATTTTCCCTAGTTTATTTCTCCTTTTCCAGTCAACCTTCACTCTGTAGGAATCTGTCTCACATCAGATCCTAAACCTGACCCATAAATGCATAGCATCTTAGTTCCCCCAAAACATAACCGTAGCCATAAAGTGATTCACTATTATAATGCTACACTTTAGATCCACAACCACAAGAATTCCCTCTTGTCAATGAGGAACTACTTCTTTTAATAATTTTTTGAAGGTGATATTTTAGACCCTAAAAAGGTTTAAATTGAACTCCCATCTTGAACTCCAAAGGATGACCAAGAAAATAAGTCATAAGGTATTACATAGTTATAATCATTTCAAAGCCTATATAAGGAATTTGACTACTAATTCTTTTTTCACAAGTTAAAAAGATGGATATACTTCCCATTCATCCTTTGGCCATAAGCGAAGGTTTGTATTGAATTCCCATTTTAAACTCCAAACAAAGGGCTACTACCGATTTCCATCCCAGCTATCCAGGGTCTTGGGAGGGGTGTACTCAGATGCAGATCTAACTTTGGCATTCTTTTCACAAAGTGGCCTCTCTCAGACTCAAACCCACATCCTCATGTTTGTCAGCTTGAGATTTTACCATTGTACGAAGCCAAGGACTAGTAATTTTTCTTCCCCAAGTTAAAAAATGAGCATATATCCATTCATTTCTTGGCAATAATAGAAGAATTAATTTGAAAAAGCATGTAGAGGAATGTGAAAAGACCTGCGAGTCCAGAGGATCTGCTTCACGAGACACAAGGTTCTGTAAGCTGATTACAGCAGCTGAGGCAGCCAAAATGGGATCAACAGAGTGGTGCGGGCTCCCTGCACTGCCCTTTTTTCCACTTATTATGGCTCTAAAGAAGCCACATCCAGCAAGCAAGGGACCAGGCCTTGAACCAATAGTCCCACTAGGACGCTCATGCGATACATGAACAGCAAATATGGCCTCCACATCCTCCAGAGCCCCATCTTGCATCATTCGCTTGGCACCATTACCAGCTTCTTCTGCTGGTTGAAATATAAGAATCACAGTTCCCTATTGAAAAAATAATGGGTCAAGAATCATGAAAAGATAAAATCAGCTAGAAATATAAACACATTATATAACAAATAAAATCATGTACTATTCTAGAATACACTTCCGATGACAGACACTTTTTTTGATAAATATGACAGGGTGGGCCTTGGCACAATGGTTGGGTTTCTCCATTACAACCTGGGTGATCAGGGTTCAAATCTTGCAAACAGCCTCTCTGTACGTGCAGGGGTAAGGCTGTGCACATCTGTCCCTCCCCAGACCCCGCATTGGTGAGAACCTCATGCACTGGGCTATCCTACACTTTTCTCATGCTGTAGCATGAAAAAATGCAGCAAAGAGAAAGTCTTAAGCCATTAAATTCTGCCCATGGTTTCCAGACCAGAACAGCAAGACTACACATTGCTCTGACATTCACAGGAAGTGGAATTGATAATTCATGTATGGTTTGCTCAGTAAAAAATGACAGAAACCTCTCTTAGGTTAACACCAATTCAAACATGACAGAGATCTGTCAGAAAACTGAATGAAAAATTGTCTCCATTTTTACCTTAACCTGCCTCAAGTTTCAATTATAATACCACCAACTTCTATTATTATCTAAATGTTTTTAGCAATACCCCTAAGCGTTCTTGCTTCTTGGGTATTATAGGTGGTGCTTCCTTTCAGTTATGCTGCTTTAGAAGGGAGTATTATATGAAATAAATTCTTGAGCAATTTCTATATCATTAGAGAAAGGTTAACAAACAGTTAAAGGTTTCTATCTTAGATGGAAGAGATTCAGTATTGTAGGGGAACTTTTCTTTGGGGGGGGTAAACTGGTAGGGGATTTACAATTCCAGCTTATGGGCAAAGTTAGAGACAATTTCTCATTTCCGTTCTTTGTGAAAATGAAACGCTGGAGAAGTGCAACAATTTTTCATTTCCATTCTTTATTTTTTGTTTTTGTTTTTATTGTTATTATTATAATTTTTTTTTTTTTTTTTTTGGGGGGGGGGAGGGAGGGGGTGATTTGTTTGCTTTGATACTCTATTGAATTACAGAACAGGACTAACTGAAACAGTTGAAACTAGGCTTGCAATGAAAATGATGTATGATACATTATTTTTCATTTCTTTCACTTTAGATTCTCTGGAAGAGTGTAGGACAAAGGCAAGATCACAATCATGATGCAAAATTAATAAAATATTAGAAAAGGAACAAACTGTGAGAAATTAAAAAATTATAAAGTGTGACTACTCGGGGCCCTATCCAATATACAGACAGGCAGGTTCATGGAATCCACTGTTTAACCATGCAAGTTTATTTAACCCACTGTTCGTACTTGTAATTTCATGAAATTCATTATTGAACACTGCAAAACCACCAGGGAAGCACCAATGTAAGTACTGATGTTGCACTAGAAATTAACTTAACCACAAAACCTACCGATGCCGTTTCTAATTATGCAAAGCAATTTGTAGACCCCGCCTCAAATCAACCCCTTGCTTTTCTTGTCCGGTTCTTTTTTCTCTTTCCCGGTTGTATCAAATATTTGTTACATATGATACAACATCCTCATCTTACAAAAGTGCGTCTATTCTGTTCTTGTTAACCCACCAGGACATCGTTCTTGCTACAAGCAACACAATGTGGTAAAATTGATGAAGACTAAAAAAGAAAAGGTTCTGACGATTAGCCTTTCTCCAAGAGACTCTTGCAGAAATTCTATATCCATTTACGCTCTTATAAATGAGTATATAACTACAATTGGGAAAAAATATTATGGAATCTGAATGATAAGAAAACAAAATTGCATAAATGAAGCATTACACTAAGATAATTGAATCTATCAATTCAAATCTTCAACCATCCTTTCCAATACTGTCATTTTCATAACTTCCACCAAAAGAACAACAACCAGACACCCAAAATGCAAAATTTATAATTTCAAGCAAATGGGTGAAATCACAGATAGGCTAAAAGAAGGAGACAAGTTGCAGACAAACCTTGAGATTAGGCTCCCGGCTCTTCAATATCTTGGCAGCACCAAGAAGCATGGCTGTGTGGGCATCGTGGCCACAAGCATGCATTTTTCCTGGGATTTTGCTTTTGTGCTCCCACTCCACAGCTTCCTGCAACAAGTTCCTCATCTCAATGAAAATGGATCTCCTCCAAAACCAACTAAGTTTTTGAATAAAAAAACCCAAAAACAAATCTGTAACGAAATTAACTACCATGTAGAGACCAGCAAGCGTTTAAATAACAGAATCATCAATGATTTTTACTAAAAAATTGAATAAAATATCGCTTCTTTGACCACATTTTCTTTCTCGTGCAAAGCTTAATATTTTTAACTGAATAAAGAATACCAAAAAATTCACGGAACAGAACTCTGCAGAAGAAAAATTAATTCAAGATGGAGACAACCGTACCACCCACCTGAAACCCAATTAACATTAAAACCCCAACCACCGTGCCTCAATATTGCACCGAAAATTCCGATCCAACGGCTTAAATATCAATAGTACTGTTCTAGGTCGTTGCAGAGAGAAAAATGAAACCCAGAAAAGACCGACAAAACCGACAAATTTTACAGGGGAAAAAAATAAAAGCATAACCTGTAGTTCTAATCGAAAGGTCTCTATTTTCCAATGAAGCAAAAAAAAAAAATAAACAAAACCTGAATTGGCAGAGCATCCATGTCGGCCCTGAGCGCAACGAAGGGGGGGCCACCGGTTCCAATGGAAGCTCGGATGCCGGTCTCGGCCAAGGGAAAGCGATAACTGATTTGCAGCTTGTCCAACTCGTCCCGAATCAACCGACTCGTCTCGAACTCCTGAAAAGCCAGCTCTGGGTGTTCATGGATTCTCCTCCTCAACCCCTTAAGCCAGTCAACCGTCTCCGGCCGGTTCGCCAGCTCCAGCACCTCCTCCGAACACCTCTTGCTCCAAACTTGACAACCGGGTGGCGACGAAGGAGGCGACAAGACAGAAGACCGAGACGAACTTCTGTTCTTGAGTAACAAATCCTTGGAACTGATGTAACCTGCGGTTTCGAAAATTGAGTACGAAAGATCGGTGGGAGTGCTTCCTCCGGCGGTTCTGATGGAATTTAGAAGAAGTAGGAAAATAGAGATAGAGATTGAGAAGAAACCCAGTTCCCCAGAAGGACCCATCTTGAGTTTCCACTTCGCATAACAGACGAGAGGTGGAAGAAGGGAGAAGCAACACAAATTTAAAAGAATGTCCAGAGAGAGAGAGAGAGAGAGGCGGAGGTCAGACGTTAAAGGAGGTGGAGGAGGAAGAGCAGGAGGAGAAGACCAGAAGGAGAGAGCACCTTTAACTCGTGGGAGGTAATTGACAGTGACGTATCGCTATCACGTGGGAGAATTTTGTTCTTGCCTGAGGCGTCGAATCGCAGCAGCCCCACCACTTCTTGATTGAGAGTGACGCCCGACGGCCCGACCGCCCGAGTAGGAAGGTTGTTTTATAAATTTCGGAAATTTCCACCCATTTGTTTGCCTTCAATGAAAATTTTTAAATGTTTTCTTTTTTATTTTTCATTAATATTTTATAGTTTTTCTTTTCTTGATTAGTCTCAGAGAGAAAATTATAGAACCCAGTATACAACATTTCGCATTGTACTCCTCTTCCCGAACTAAGCCCTACATTTTTTTGTAAGATTCAATGCTTTATACAAAAATCTCATATTTTATATATAATATTTGATGGATCATGTAATTTAGTGTGGAATAAATCCATACAAAATAGAAAATTCTTCGTATAATTAAAATTTCGGAAATGTTGTAACATTTGATGGAAAGTAAATTATTTTGAAATTTTTGTTTTTTATGTTTATAATTAAGAATTCAAATACTATATATTTAGTATTTACTAATATTGGCTACAGGTTAAATTTAGATCTCAATCAATAACGTTAACATTTATTTATTTTTATTAGTTTACGTTTTATAAAGTCTACTTATACTTACCATCATGTTCAATCAATTACGTCCTTCCCTATACCATATTTACCATCACATTGAACCAACCAAGTCTTTTTACTATAATAGATTTTGCCAATAATTAAAAAAAAAAAAGAAAATTATGAAAAATTTAAACCATTTCCAATTTCTTCTCTATGGAAAGGCTGTTAAGGTGGAAGAAATGGTTGGATTTCCATTGGTGATTTTGTCTTATCATTCTTACAAGTGGGCAGACTAAAAAAGGGTTAAGAGTGTAGCTCTCACTGTCAGTGATCAGCAACTCTTTCAGACTTGTAGTCATTGCTATGCTACAATGGCAATGCATCATCAAACCACCATCATCCTAAAAGAGATGGGGCCTTAGTTTCGGTCACCCTGTGTCCAATAAAAAGGGATCCAGGTCCATCATAAGTGGGTCCTATCTAAATGATTGCATGTGGATTATAACCATTCATCTCTTTATTCTTTTCCTTTCAGACCTAGAACTAGAATGGTATCTTATTCACTATCTGATAAACTCTTTTATTTTTGTTTTTAATAAATTCAAATGGCCTTTATTCACACTATCCGATAGACTCAGATGACCTTATCTTAAGTGATATGTTTTTTGAATTATAAAAAAATATGTATATATATGCATTGTTGACGTCATCTGATCAGAATATTTTCTTTTCTTTTTTATTTGCTAGAAGACATCATCAAAGAATGCTGATTGATATACTGTATATTGGTTATAATTTATAAGAATTCTTTAATCTGAGACCTACTCAAATAGTGGGCCCTGACTTCAAGAAAGCCCAAATGAAACCTGAAAAAAAAAAGACGAAAGCAAACCCAAGTTCTCCAACCCCCAGATGGACAGAGGCCTACACTTCCAGCCTTTCAACATTTAAAGAAATTGGGTTTGTTAGATTTCTAAGAACTCCATCTCTTTTATATTTTCTTCTCTCTCTCCATGTTTAGGCCCATTTGTTGGGTTTAGACTCTTGAAATCAAAAGGGTTCCATCTAAAGAGGACAAGGGAAGGTACGGTTGTAGCTAGAGTCCTATTTCCAGGTCAAGCTCTGATTCAATTGATTAAATGCATCCCTCCTTCTATATATGTAGCTTAGAGTATTAAATTACTGACCTCATCATATACCTAGTTCAGTCATCTATTTGACACATTTATTACATATCTTGGATATGGTTGTGTCTGTTTCTGTATTAAAAACTACCATTCAACTCTTCTACCTGACTGTGTTTAATAGGGCAGGTAAGCTTCATAATCACCAGACCCACTTCATTTCAATAGTGGCTAAGCATGTTCTTAGTCAGGTCAGCTTCAGACATACATGATGTTATATTTAATTCACAACAAACCATGCAGCCCAAATTTAATACCCTCCTATTTTTGCCTCTATTTTAGGCTGTGTTTGGTGAAGTTCTTAAAGAAAATTCTCTCGACTTTCTGTTCCTCTCTTATTTTCTATCAAACCAAACATATAGCCTTAAGTTAACTAGTCCTTATTTTCCTTCCAGTTTTTTATTTCTCGCCCTTCCCACACCTTTACAGGATGGGGTAGGGTCAAGTTCAACCAGGGCAGTTTTGTTCTTGCACCAATAACTTGTACCCAAACAGGAACAACTGATCTGTCTCCCTGCTTCTACTCCCCAATGCAATTTCATTTATACATTTGTTACATAATTAACTATTACAGTCAAATGAAAGGTGAATGTTATTTAGGTGAGTAAGATGTTTATTACTGTCTAGCTACTTTGTCTTTTTTTTTTATGAAAATAAAGCTAATTAAGTTTCAAAGGCAAAGGTGAATTAACAATTTCATTACTATAGTTCCTACAACAGTTGGAAAAACAAAGACAAATCTTTACCCTGGTTTCACATCCAAGGGAAAAGGGAATCTTCAATTAAGATTCAATGTTTATCAATTTTGTCTTGTTGAGAAAGCGATTTTTCTGTTGTCCTTTCTCTTTTGTCGTTCCTTTTACTTTTTGCTTTCACCCTCTCCCTTTCCATGAGTGTATCTATTAGTCTCCATTTAGAAGAGTGAAAGAGAAATTTTAGTGAATTTAATTCTGTAATTTAATTTATGTTCAGTCGAGTTGAATTTGGGTTCACTCAAACCAATAATAATGAACCTTAGCCATTGTTTTCCTTGTTCCCCAATGTAAGTTCATTAATTATTCTATATTTTTAAAGTGTATTAACATAAAAGATGGTGGAATTTTTCTATCTTATGTATTTACCAACTTCATACTGCAGCTATATATAGACACATAAATCATAAATATTTTATAGGGATTCTCAAAGGCTATGTTTGGTATGAAGGAAAAGGTAGGGAAAGGAAGGGAAAGATAAGAAAACCAATATAAGGTTTGTAAAGGTTTCCCTACCTTTTCCTTCCTTTCCCTATATTTTCCTTCAAACTAACATACCCTAAATGTTCCTTTTCAAGTTTTGTTTTGTTTTTTTTTTTTCTCTTTCACGTCCACATCTCTCTCTTTCCTTCAGCATGTTCCTCTTCCCTCCATATATTTATGGAACAGATTTTATGGGAAAAGACTTTTCCACATGTTCAAAATAAGAGTAATAACCTTTTTTTTATGGAAAAACTTTAATTGACAAAATAAAACTTTGATGAACAGCTGAGATTATTTTGGTATGAGATTGTGTCATCCTTTACTAATTTTATTTCTTGATAAATATTTTAGAGTAATTTTTTTTAAAGTAAATTTTCATTCTAGATACATCCCCATTCACAATTAATGGAAAATAAACTCCTTTTGCTTCTTAATTATTAAAATCAATTACAATTTGAAAAACACAGTTGAATGTCGACCAAATAATAAAGAAGAAAAGATTCTTAACCTCGTTTTAGCCCGTTCAAAGAAAATAAGAACTAAAATTTTTAGAGAAAATTAACCAAATAATATAAATTAAAAGCAGCAAAAGAAAACTTAATAAAGGAACAAGGAATAAGGATGGAATTATAAGATAGTGGTTCAATTGGTTGGTTTTAGAAGTAGAAAATTCTCTATTCCTTTGCCCTTGAGTTCAATGTGAAATTTATATTGTATCTATTAGTAAAGTTGGTCTGAATATTGTGTTTTTACCAAATTGTCATAGGTTTAAATTTCACAAAAGTGATTTTTTTATTATTTTTGTTTAGGGAATATCTATGATGCGGAAAAGATATGGTATGGAAAGAATTTTGACCAATCAAAACCCACCCATGAAATTTGATAAATAACACCTTATTCTTTATCAAGTTTATGATTCCAATTTATTGGTCAATTGTTTTTTGGATATCATATCTTTTTCATATCATAGTTGAACCCTTTTGTTCATGAACTACAATATCAAATTCATTTTTAGTTCATTTTTATTTTGATTTTTTTTTTTGTTTAATTTATCAATACATATAATCAGTATCCAAATTCAATTTGAATCCAATATAAATCCGATGGATATTGATCTGATTCAATTTTGAATATAAACAAATCAAATTTTGATCTATTTATATTCGATCTCTTTGCAACTCCAATTTAACATATAAAAAAATTATTTTTAGTATCTGTTAATACACAGGAAATTCCTTAAAAAATGTTAGTCAGTAGATATCAAAACAGAAGCAGGATCTGTTCCTCACAGGCACATCCACCGTGCATTGAGAACATCTCCCGTGAATAATAACTAATAAATATGTGAGATATTCCCAATGCATGGTAGGATGTGCGTGTGAGGCACCAGGTGTGAGGAGGACATCCGGTCTCATCAAAATAATACTAGTTATAGACAGTAGTACCAAGTTGGTTCCGCAGTTGTAGACAACAGTACTACCAAGTTGCATATTCTGTATATCGTAATCTCTCCTTTAAGTGGGGAAACAATATCCTAAAGAAAAGGTGAAGAAAATGTGGATTTCCTAAAAAAGTACTCCATCCAAGGTTAATGAAATATTTTCAGTTTACCAAAAAGGGTAATTAATGAAATACCTGATCCTTGTAAATTATTATTCTTCTTTCTCAAATTCTTTTTCTCCTAGTTTTAGTTTATTGCTCAACTAAATTATTGTGCTAATTTATTAAAGTTCCATTGAGAATAAAAGCAAGAAGATAACAAAAGAGTGGATGCAAAATACAGTCAAGTCATTGTTTTACTCCCATAAGATATATATATATATATTTTTTTTTTTTATAGGGTGCATTTGCTGATGCAGAAAATAAAGGTTTGGCCCTAAAAATAAAAGGCCAAAAGTAGTAACCATTCAAGAGCATGTTTGTTGGACAAGCTATGGGTCTAAAATTGCACCAACCATATTGTCATTAAATAATAAGTTACCAAAATAGTAATTAATTTGTGTATAAGACTAACTTCATTGGTTTTATTTTTGGGTAGATTTAGATAGACCAAATTTCATTGATGGTTTCTTATTTCCTAATA